AATCATTTTCCAACGAGGAATACGCAGATATCTTTTATCTCTATGGATATTGTATGGATATTATAAATTGTTTACAACGGACGATTTTTTCGGACCGATACTACTTAGGGACCTTCAAGAGCTTATTCCATTCTAAAAGGCTGGCAACGCGTCTGTCTATCCTCGGTGTTGCGGTTGTTGTTGGGCGGCTCTAGTCACTTACCATCAGGTGAGCCGTATGCCCATTTGCCCCCTCTTTTACAAAAAATGATACCAGCACCACTACTCTCCTCAACACTGCTTTATTAGGAAAGACAAACCATCGTCAATAATACGACACGGGCTCAGCTTCTACACGAGGTAGTACATCCTCGGGAGATGTAGACTATGTGGTTGCAGGTCACTGAGACTTACGTAGACATGCTCTTTAAACTAGGATAGACACATCAATTATTTTTTCCCGCGCGTCTTAGCAAATTTATTCTTAACAACCGCAAAGTAACGCCTGATTCCATTTATTAAATTACTGCTATTATGTATCAAGCTGAGCAAAATTAATGATGATTGAGACAAATAATAAAACAAAATTTATGCTGTTGCTAATTTGTTGCTGTAAAAATTGTAGCTAACTACCAGTGTTCTTGTTATGATAGTTCGCGGTTTTATAATAATCTCAACGCATTTTGTTTGTTGAGATTATTTACCAAATAGTAAAAAATCAAAATGTAAATAATTACCGTTTCAGAAAATTTCGGCAAATAGAAAGCGGTAGAAATACACTCAGAAAGCGGAAATTAAACGACTGCCATGAATGTCGATTTCAGACACTCACTACCTGGACCGAGCAAGTTATCAATAGATTCGAGAAATAAAAATTTTTTTTTCATACTTATTTTTTTTTATAATCATACTTCGTAACTTTTTAATTATTACGGATAAAATTACGAAAACTAATGCTTATGTCCTATCAACAAAAATGTAAAATGTAAAACAATTTATGACATTGAAATATTTACAATGTAAGCACGGTGATATTTTAAACTTTTTCAAGATCATTGACTGCCTCGTTGGTCTATCGGTCGGAAACGCGGTTGCTGATCATGAGATCCTGAGTTCGAATCCCAATCGATTTGTTAAACATTTATAAACAATCTCAACAAACCAAAGGTGGTGCAAATATTGATATGACTAGACTAACATTTGCTTACAGGTAGGCAGAGTTGGCAAAACAAAAAGTAATGTTTAAGTACTGGTTTGTAAGGCTGGTTTCACAACTGTACGAGTAGAGCCTACAGTGCATTGAAAGGAGTACTTAGTACAAAACGGGTGCTAGCGGACTGACTGTTCTTAACAGGAAACAATAGGAGCTAAAAAATTTAAATTCGTTACCTCGTTAATTAGTATGCTAGACGCTATGTTGACAAACGATTTACAATGCGCTTAAAACCTGCGCCTAAAATCGGGTGTCACACGTCCGTGATAAAAATGTCCATTTATACGCTCTGCGCAACCTTACATCTAAATTTAAAGTTTTAACACCGTAAGTTTTTTTATGCTACCATTTGCTGCATATAAAATATAATCAGATCGTTCATTACCACCACACGATTTGACACGCATTTTGTTTAGCAGCAAAACGGAGATATTGGCACCAGTGTCAATTAGAAAAATAAGGTTGCTGGACTTACCTCGTATGCTGAGATGATTATTAGAGATGCCTATGCAACGATTCTCTTCCTCCCGCTGCGCAGCATCTGTATATATATATATATATTTTTTTCTTCAGTCTACCTGATGGTAAGTGGATGCTGTGTTCCATAGACATCTTCATTTAACCTCGCTTGAGAATCAAAATGCAGATGCGTTGTCACCCTTGAGGATTAAGATGGAATGCCTCGATGCCAGTAAAACGAGTCTTCGGTTCTCTACACTCACCATATGAAACATAGTAGCATTCAGCTGCTATTTTACGCCAGTATTCTGTGAGAGTGTAGTCCTTCCCCGGTCGAGCCGATCCATTCATGCTACAACCATAATAGCTGCAGTGTGGCTCTACCACGTAAAAAAGGAACTTCATCTAAAGAACAGTAAATTTTTCCGTTATTAAATGTAGGTTATGTTGTGTGCCCTTAAGCTCATAAATTATGTTTCTAAAATATCGATCTGACGCTACGCTACTTTGTTGCGTGACGGAAAGGTAAATCAACAAATACACTTCGCATTCATATTATGAATTCGACATATAGGATCAACCGGTAATATAAAATGAAGTAATCCCAGTATTTACTAGGTAATAAAGTGGACGAAAACTTTAATTTCAATCACACTAAATTTTTGTATCGCGTAATACACGAGTCGAATCATATTTAATTAAACGTAAGGGTTTTTTAAAGTTTTAGTAACATTACAATACACACCTACGCCACACAAATTTAAGTCATGAGTACATTTATTTTAGTAGTTACAGGAATCACTGGAATAGATTCGGGGAAAAGAAGTTTTACTGAAAAGAGAACCGCGCGCACAAGCCATTTTGATTTAAGCTAATCGATATTTTTCACTATCACATTTCCATTTAATATCCTATATCTTTAATGCCAATACACAATGAAAATGTATTACAAAAATAATTGAAACATTAGCATTATATAAAGAATTAATAAAATATTAAACAAAATATTACAATTTTACAAGCAATTTCTTAGATTCATAAACCTTAAATGTCGAATATTAACTTTATGAACGCAATTCTCATTACTAATTTCACATGTCTTAAACAATACAACAATTGAATTCACGAGGTAAAACTTTTAAGAACAAAATTACTTTAGTTTTTTATACCATTCTTTTATTATTTTGTTACTTATAAATGAAATTAAATACTTTTAACAAATTTCTTATCTTATCGTTCTATGGAACCTTTTTAAAACATTTATTGCTTGCACTTTCACATTTTTTGTGATAACAAATATCACTTTATGCAATAATTTTAATAATTTTAATATTATTGTTCAACAATGCTAGACACTTGTGAGTTGACAATCTCACTTCTACATGACTCTCGAGAACCTATAGGAATCTCTTGCCATCCCTTCCTAATATTTATACTAATCCTTGTCTGATATATACACCATTTCACTCTAGCATTTAACTATCTTTATAAAAAAATATTATTGATATATCTTATCAATTATCACTTATCAAAACACATATCTATAAATTAAAAAAAACATTAATCAAATGCTTAAAACAACGTAAATCTTTTAAATTGTAGCACATAGCCGATGGCAATGTAATCTATATCTATACATATAATAAATCTGTAGTCTATACATAATAAATCTGTAGAAAAGTCGCGTCTGTAATTCTATTATTTTTTGAAAAAAACAAGTCCAGGGGACTAAACAAGCGGTACTGAAACCAAATTAGTAGTTTTTAGAATTTTTGTCTGTCTGTCTGTCTGTCTGTCTGTCTGTGTATTACGGATTCACTCATAAACTGCAAGACGGATTTACATGAAATTTTGTAAGTGGGTAGTTAAGAACCCGGGGCAACTTATAGGCTACTTTTTATCCGATTACGGAGCATCAAAAAAAGAAGGTTATGTTTTTTTACCTTTCTTTGGAGTTAATTTTATAATTTTATAATAAGTGCATAAAATGTCATTAGTCTTAAGGTAGATTACATAAAGTTCTTAATTTGTAATGTATATTTATAACTGAAGCTTAATATACTATGTCAACCGTTGAAACTTAGTTTAAAACTTCACCGACTACGTTGTATGTTTATAAGACAGTGCCATCTATTATTAAAATGCAAAAAGTGTTACGTTTTCCCTTCAGGCACTAATAAATTATTTATTATACATATTAAAGTTTTATTAAAAAATATAAACATTTATAGAAGCTTTTTATATGTATGTATTGCTTTTAAATTTTGTCTATCGTTATGAAAATCAAGTTTAATTTAAATACATAATAGCGCCATTTAAGAAAAAGTAAGTTACAATGACGGCATCCACACCTTTTTCTGCCACCAGTGTGGCGCCACTTGTGAAGGTGAAGTGAGGTATAATATTTGACAGATATCAGGGCGGGGAAGTTAATTTGTTCGAAAAATGTAAAGGTTAATGTTTCTTTCTGTACTGTTGCTATATTTTATATTTTTAAAATTAAAAATACATAATATTCATGAAAGTAGAAAAATTTTAAAAAGTTAAAAATGTGCAAAAAATTAAACAGCAAACCACTGACTCATTGTTTTGTGTATTAGTATAATACTCTTGAAATTGATAAACTTTTATTAAAAACTTACTTCTCCATTAAATGACATTGTGTAACAAAAAACTTTATCTCAGTGTCAACTAGCGACATCTGGTGAGCAGAAAATTATTAGCCCTCATTAAACAGTATGGTTCTCTAACTACGTCACTTCACGGCGACTATTTAAATTGTATATATTATTTAAATTGTATATATTATTTGTATAAATACATAATAAACAATTATAATTTTTAGTTAGGTCCTTTTCTATCCTATAATAGGAATATAACTATTTTTTTTATGAAATATATATTGGTACAATGATAATTGTTTTATTTCACTATTTTCCGTTACGTTCCGTTAGATGTCATTGCTGAACATCTACCTCGCGTAGGTAAGATTTTTCGTGAGTTTTCTTAATGACACATTATTTTATATCTACTCAATATGATAATTTGTAAAAGTTGTTATATTTGTGATAATACTATAATACTGTGTGCTAAGTTTTCTATTCTTTTACCTTTCATGACATCATATTACGGATTTACGGATTTCTGATATTTTGTCTTACGATACGGAATTAGTTGTTTGGATTTTTTAGACTGTAATAATATATTAAATTTAAATTAAATTAAATTGAATTAAATAATATTATTATTGTAGTCTAAGGTTAAGTGATCACTAAATTGTTACATACGTGATTACATTTTCGGATAAGGATTTTATTTTGTGTTTTGGTTGTTGAATACATTTTAAATAATGCCGCAAAAAAAGAAAAGTAGTCTTTCTCAATACACTAGAAGGGCTAAAAGGATGAGACAAGTTCGATCGCAAGAGACAAATGAGGACCGTTTAGCTTACAATAGAGAACAAACTGCGGAATCTCGGGCATCAGAGTCCAGTTTTAATAATGAAACGCGCTTAGCTACAGATCGCGAACGTCACGCGTTGTCTCGCGCTTCGGAAACATTAACAAATTACTCTCAGCGTTTAAAAGTAGACCGTGAACGTCATATCGAGTCTCGAGCTTTAGAGACGTTTACGGAGCATTCAGAAAGGTTGACTGCAGACCGTGAACGTCATGCTGAAAGTCGCGCTTCAGAAACGTTTACGCAATATTCAGACCGCTTGACAGCAGACCGTGAGCGTCATGCTGAGTTTCGCGCTTCGGAAACATTTACGGAGTGTTCAGAACGGTTGACTGCAGACCGTGAACGTCATGCTGAGTCTCGCGCTTCAGAAACGTTTACTCAATATTCGGAACGCTTGACTGCAGACCGTGAGCGTCATGCTGAGTCTCGCGCTTCAGAAACGTTTACTCAATATTCGGAACGCTTGACTGCAGATCGTGAGCGTCATGTCGAGTCTCGCGCTTCGGAAACATTTACGGAGTGTTCAGAACGGTTGACTGCAGACCGTGAAAGTCATGCTGAGTCTCGCGCTTCAGAAACGCTAACTCAATATTCGGAACGCTTGACTGCAGACCGGGAACGTCATGCAAGATCACGTGCTTCGGAATCATTTACTCAATATGAAGCGAGGTTAGCAGCAGATAGGGAGAGCCGTTCGGTAAGTAGGACACATGAAACCCAGCAGGAGCATGACTTACGCTTAGAATTGGCAAGGGGATATTATGAAAATTCGCTTCAACACCGTAACGAACTTTTGTCTTTACAAAGGGAAAGAGTGCAAGCAATTAGGAGTAACGAGACAGAGAGTGAACGTGCAATTCGGTTACAAGCTGATCGTATTCGTACTTTTATAAATCGTTCACCCACCTTTACTCCGCCATCTATGGACAGAGAGAACTACACTGATCTCCCTTGGGTTGATAAAGAAAATAGTGGTTTTACCTACACTTTTAATATTGACTATAGTGAATTTGCCGAGATCGGAAGAATGATTCGCACTTGTAGTCATTGTCAATCACTTAAGTGGTCTAAAGAATCAAACGGGTTTTGCTGTTCAGCTGGCAAGGTACAATTGGAAATATTTCAAGAGCCCCCAGAACCTCTTAAATCGCTACTTAATGGGGACCATCCACATTCCAAGCAGTTTTTAGACAATATCCGTTCATACAATGGGGCATTCCAGATGACTTCTTTCGGGGCCAAGCAAGTGGTACATGGAACATTTATGCCTACTTTTAAAGTGCAGGGGCAAGTCTACCACTTAATTGGTTCGCTTTTGCCTGAGACAGAACCAAAGTTTTTACAAATATATTTCGTTTCTGATTACCATGAACAAGCCAATATAAGGAGGCAGAATTTCCCAAATTTAAACGCTAATGTTATCTCAGAGCTTCAGGGCATGCTTCATCAGGTCAACCCTTATGTATCCAATTTCAAAGCTGTACTAGAGTCGATCCCTCAAGATGAATACAATAATTATAAGTTTGTTATTAGCGCGGATAAGCGACCTTTAGTGCAACATTCCGGCCGTTATAATTCTCCATCCACCAATGAAGTGGCAGTTGTCCTGGTGGATCAGCAATGCGACAAGCGCGACATTATAGTACGCACGCGTGATGACCGCCTGCAACGAATTAGTGAGACTCATCGTTCTTACGACTCCTTACAATACCCACTTATTTACTGTCGCGGTGAAGATGGTTACAACTTTACGGTTTATCAAGTTGACCCCGCTACAGGAGCACCTCGGTTAGACAGAAAAGTTTCGGCTCTGCAATTTTATTGTTATCTCATGCAAATAAGACAACGTCGTTTTGTATATTTATAACGATTTCGTGGCTTATTTAACCAGTTTATTGCATTCGTACTCATCAGAGACAGTTGCGTGCCGAAAATTATGTGGATCTTCATGATGCAGTACAGGGAGATACACACATAGAAAATTTAGGACGTTTAGTTATATTGCCTTCCAGCTTTATCGGGAGTCCCCGAAATATGAATGAACGCGTTCAAGACTCATTCTGTTATGTTCGCAAGTATGGTAGGCCAGATCTTTTCATAACAATAACTACTAACCCTAAATGGATCGAGATTTCTCAAGAGCTGCTAGAAGGTCAAGCATCGTACGATCGACACGATTTAATTAGTCGAGTTTTTTATTTAAAGTTAAAGTTGTTAATCAACTTATTAACCAAGCAAAACGTTTTTGGCGCTACGTCATGCTATACATACAACGTGGAATGGCAAAAAAGAGGGCTGCCCCACGCTCACATTCTTCTATGGTTATTACAAAAAATTCGTCCTAATGACGTTGATAATATAATAAGTGCAGAATTACCAAATCCCACAAATGATCCTATTTTACACCAAATTGTTAAAACACAGATGATACACGGGCCTTGCGGTGCATTAAATAATAATTCTCCGTGCATGAAGGATGGACAATGTACGAAAAAATATCCAAGACCCCTTTTAAGAGAAACAATCACTGGTGAAGATGGTTATCCCAAATATCGGCGGCGTGCTCCACAGTATGGAGGATTCACCACAAAATTGAGAATGTTTGGACGAGATGTAGAAGTAGATAACAGGTGGGTAGTGCCGTACTCACCTGTGCTATCGAGAACTTTCCAAACCCATATAAACGTAGAAATGTGTAACAGTGTTGAATCAATTAAATACATTTTTAAGTATGTAAATAAAGGGACGGATCAAGCAACACTTGCAATGAGCAACGACAGATTTGACGAAATTACAAGATTTCAATCAGGGCGATACATAAGTTCTTCGGAGGCAGCATGGCGAATATTCAGTTTCCCAATAAGCGAGCGTAATCCCCCGGTAATGCATTTAGACGTTCACGTGGAAGGCGGACAACGCGTATATTTTCACCCAGACAATATTGTGGAGCAACTAGAAAATCCTAGACAAACAACTTTACTGGCGTTCTTTCGATTATGCGAATCTGACGATTTCGCAAGAACTTTGCTTTATGACGAAGTTCCAGCGTATTATACATACGATAAGCAACACAGGATTTTTAATCGTCGCCGACGTGGTATTCCTGTTGAAGGTTTTCCCAACCTTTTTAAAGAACATGTGCTCGGCAGAGTGTACACTGTACATCCCAATAACTCCGAATGTTTTTACGTACGTTTACTTTTGCATACAGTACGAGGACCCACATCATTTTTGGCTTTGAAAATGTTCAACAACACTCAATATCCTTCTTTTCAAGCTGCTTGCCGGGCTCGAGGGTTATTGGACGACGACCAGCACTGGGACAACACCCTCGCTGAAGCATCTGTTAGTGATAGCCCGCGTCGTTTACGGAATTTATTTGCGGTGTTGTTAGTATTTTGTGGCCTTTCAGATGCTAATCAACTTTGGGTTAAACACCAGAAAAGTTTAGCTGAAGATTACATTAATTTTGAACATGGTGAACTAAATCAAGAGATGCTCAATGATGTATTGAATCGTTGTTTGTGTGATATACAAAACACAGTTTTTTCAATTGGTGGTAATCCCTTAATACGCTATGGATTACCTGAACCAATCTTAAATGTCGAACAAACTAATCGAGAGTATGCAACGGAATCCAATTACGACTCAGAGGAACTGGCCCAAATTCTTCAAGTAGGTGTACCTATCATGACCCCCGAACAAAGAATTATTTTTGATCGTATATGTAACAGCGCTTTGAACACCTCTGGTGAAATGTTTTTTTTGGATGCCCCTGGCGGTACTGGTAAAACATTTCTTACGAAACTTATCCTTGCGCAAATACGTAGCCAGGGAAAAATTGCATTGGCCGTGGCATCGTCCGGAATTGCAGCTACCTTACTTCCAGGAGGCAAAACTGCACATTCCATGTTCAAAATACCCACACAATTAGACGTCACTGAAACCCCCCGTTTGCGACATTTCACGTAATAGTGACATAGCTTGAGTACTTCGTGAGTGCACCTTAATTGTATGGGATGAATGTACAATGGCGCATCGCAAAGCAGTAGAAGCCGTCAATAGAACGCTGCAAGATATACGACACAACAATGAACTTATGGGCGGAGTCACTATGCTCTTCTGTGGAGATTTTCGGCAGACATTGCCAATAGTTACACGCGGGACAAGAGCCGATGAAATTAGCGCATGTTTAAAAAATTCAATTCTTTGGCCCCATATTACAAGGTTAAATCTCACCACAAACATGCGAGCCAAAGAGGCGAGAACACAAATGCTCAAGATTTCTCACAGTTATTATTGAGTATTGGTGAAGGTAGGTTTCCTGAGGTTGATGGTAGAATAGATTTAATTAATAATTTGTGCAAAACAGTCCTTAACATTGAGGAACTTATTATATCTGTTTTTGAAGATCTGGCTGGTATAGTAAACCAAGGAAACTCTTGGCTTTGTGAGCGCGCTATACTTACGCCTCGTAATGATCAAGCTGTAAGTATCAACATGACCATTGTAGAACGTATTGAAGGGGAGAATGTTACCTATACGTCAATAAATAGAGTAGTTGACCGTGAAGAAGTAACAGCATATCCTGTAGAGTTTTTGAATGCATTAACGGCGTCTGAGCTCCCTGCACATGAAATTAAACTTAAGGTAGGGATCCCCATAATTCTTTTAAGAAATTTAAGTCCACCAAAATTATGCAATGGTACTCGGCTCAAAGTAGTTGCTCTCCAGAGACATGTGGTTGAGGCAGAGATACTTACCGGTTGCGGTGCGGGTGAGAAAGTTTTTATTCCACGAATACCGATTATTCCGAATAACTTTCCGTTTCGTTTTAAACGGGTCCAACTGCCGGTGAGTGTTTGCTTTGCAATGACGATAAATAAGGCACAGGGTCAAACGCTAAGCAGAGTAGGCGTTGACCTTACGAACAGCTGCTTTTCACATGGGCAGCTCTATGTGGCAATGTCGCGTATCAGCGATCCCACTAATTTGTTTATTTTAGCACCACAAAACAAAACGGTGAACGTTGTTTATGAAGAGGTCCTTTGCTAACTGAATATATTTTTTTACATTTTCTTTTACTTTTGAAGTTCTAACAAAACCGTGATTAAATAAATAAAACCATTAAATTAAATTGCATATTTATATCCCCTTTTTGACTCCTTGTTTTGTATTTATTAAGATTTTATTATTCGAAAACCAGAAATGGATTAGGTGGTAGATAGCTGGCATTAGGTTTTCTTAAAATGTGGATATTATCATAAAATGGCTAATCCTTGCCATCAAGTCATCCAAAATTAAAAGTAAAAAATTTGATCTATTTTAGCCTTTTTCACGAAGCTAACGTTCAGGTAGGTATAAAATAATCTGCTTGATTATAATAAACATATAATTATATATACTCTGTTTGAAAATATAAAAGAATTGGAGAAAAAGATTACATGCGAACGAAGTCGCGGGCACAGCTAGTGTTTGAATAATTTCAAATATCTTTATCTTTAAGAAATTAGCGTCTTATAAAATGAATACAAATTTGACATTTATTTTAAGAAAAATGAATGATTTAAAGAGATGTTATCTCGCGTCACAAACACACATATTAAATGTAAAAGGGATCGTTGGGAATGCAAAGCCTAGGAGGTATGTAACAAACCCAAAATGCCGAAATTGAAAAGAAAGCGTAAATAATCCATGGGAAATAGCCTCCAGTTGAACGAGACTAACGTTTTTGCAGTAAAGTTGTAATTATTTTAAGCAATGGATTAATTCTTTATGGATTATTATTTACATAAAAAGTATATACATCAGTGAATTGTCAGGGAAATGAAAATATTATTATGCTAGGAAATTTTAATGGAAGGGTTGGGGTGAGGGAGCTTGGTTATGAAAGAATATTGGGAACGTTTGGTAATGAAAGTATAAATGAGAATGGTGAAAGTCTCCTCACCGTATGTATAGAAAAGAATCTTTTTGTGACGAACACTTGCTTTCGCCACAAGAAGATTCACATGTATACTTGGGAAAGAGGTGACGATAGAAGCATGATAGATTTCATAATTGTGGATGAAAGATTGAGGGGCGCAGTGGTAGATACAAGGGTTTACCGGGGTTCTAACGTAAGAACGGATCATTATTTGGTTTTATCCCGAATTAATGGTCAATTCAGGCGTTGGCGCCATCGGTAATCTGTGTCTACCACTGCGTTACAGCGTATTAGAACAGAAAGGTTACAAGATAAAGGTGAGAAAAACAAGTTCAAATGTAGACTGAAAGAAAATATAAGTGGTTTGGATGAATTATGTATGAAAGAGTTAGACTTGGAGAATGTATGGCAAAACGTAAAGAAAGGTTTAGTGGATGCAGCTACCGAAGTATGTGGTGATAGTAAGAGAAAGAATGAAAGGAAAAATAATACGTTATGGTGGGATGATGAGATACGTATGGAAGTTGAAGCAAAGAAGAGAGCATGGCTAGATTTACTAGCAACGAAGGCTGGTAATTCTAGCGGTACGAATGATGATATTGAAAGAAAAAAGGCAATCTTTAGACAACTTAATAAGAGAGTAAAAGAAGTAGTTGAAAGAAAAAAGCAAGAAAAAATGGATAAGAATGATAGAAGAATATCGGATAACTTCTTTGTTGTTCGTTGATCCTAGATCATCGAGAGACTCGATTGCTCTAAGGTTAAGGGAGACTCCTTTAACTAGAGCAAAGTCTAGTACGTCAGGAGCGTAGTTAACATTGTCGGGATAGTAGGTGACAGCGAGGGGGCTGTAGACAGTCAGGTCAAGAGACTGAGTGATATTGAGCAGCACCCTGCCAGTACTAGTAGTAGTGCGGCAGGTCCACAGTATGCTTGGAGTT